TGGAGATGGCTGAGTTAAGTCTCTGGCTTTGAGGATGTTGAAGGCAGCTATGGCAGAGAAGTAACTATGTGGTGGTCAGGTTCTGCTAAAGGCTTGCTAACATTCCTGGACACCATCCTGGAGTCCACATCTCAAAACCCACTATGTTTTGAAAACAGAATTCCTTATGTTTAACTCTTTTTTTTTTTTTTTTTTTTTACTTCAAATATCTAGAGTGGTTCTGGTTTCTGTCCAAAATCCTAGCTGATTCTATTTTTGGTTATTGTGAACATCAAAGTATAAAACATATAAAACATTCTTCTTCCAGTACTCAGAATGTACTTAGCTCAACAAAATTAGATGCTATTATTTTTATTGAAAGTCCGTTATTTAGATGATCATACACAGAAAGTGACATTGCCCTGTGTCCTTTCTGTGATTCATATATTTGACAGTATTCAAGGTGCTGAAGATAAACAAGCAAGTAAATGAAGCCAGATGGCTGCCCAAACTTTTTTTCTTTTGATTCATGGGGAAAAATAGTTTTCTCCAGCATCAGCTGCCAGTCAAACTCCTGATATTTTTACTTGTCCTACATACTCATATTGACTGTCCAGTATCTCCCTTTGGGGTTTCATAAGTTCAATTCAGCTGCTGGGCTAACAAACCTTCCCATAAAAAAACACCCACAATTACTGCTATATGTAGTAAACTTGCTTTGTACAAAGCTAGTATCAGTTTCCCTAGCAATCCTTGTCACATGGATATTCCCAACTGCAACAAATGCGGGGGATAGAAAAAAGAATACCTTCAAAACCAAAAGATTTCCCACTAAACTATTAAATCACTTAAACAGCCAACTTGGCACCATTAAATTTACTCATTATGGTACTTCGCAATTAGAAAATGTGTTTACATGTTGGTGAGAGAAATACTTGGGATTTAATTGGAATTGATGATAGCACAGTAGTTGGTAAAGTTAACGATGCCAACTGGTCATTTAGGTGACTCTGTCATTAGTTATATAGGCTGATAAAATCCTTATTTAAAAGGAGTATATTGCATCATTAATTTTGGAACAGAGCTTCTCATTTCATGTGGCTAGATGTGAAACATATTGAAGAAACTCAGGGATCCATTGCACCAAATGTCAACTTGGAGTATCTTGGCAGAGATAGAGATTCAAATGTACTATCACATATATAGTAGATATTGAAATAATAGTAATTATTCAAAATACAGTCAGAGTGATTACCTGATGTCTTTTGTAAATAAAAAATAAATATACTGTATGTTAGAAATAGTAGAAATATTCATAAGTGATTACTGGAAAGTTATTTGTATGATTAGGGGATAAGTTCTCAATTATCATCAGTGTATCTTTCTTTACTATTAAAGTTAATAACTGAAATGGTAGGCATTTGGTTACAGCATAGTATAAATAACTAAATGTGTATAATGTCACATATTTCAGAAAGCACATCCATATGCTTCATCTCATTTAATTGTTATAAAACTTCTGAAATCAAACTGATAAGGAAGATTTCTCTCAAATAATTTCAATGACTTGCCCAAATCAAAAATCATACAGTACCAACTCTATGAACTACATGAACTAACTAATGATGGTCTAGTTTTAAATAGATAGCTCTGAATTAATTTTTTTAACAGTGCTGACACACAGTAAATATTTCTCGGTAAGTAAGTTTTAGCCATAGTAGTAGTCATGGTTTGGTGGTGGTAACGGTTGTGGCAGTAGTAGTAGTAGCAGTGGTGTTGGTGGTGATAGCTTCAGCAGTATTAGTAGCGGAATAGTAGTAGTAGTATTAATTGTAGTGGTAATAAACACTAGGTTGTGGTGGTAGTGTTTCAACTGTGCCACTATCCCTCATATCTAATATGAGAATATATCTGCAATAGAATTGCAGGCAACAGAAATACTTGGCTACTTACTTCTTTTCAGATACACCATTCTTGGGGCGCCTGGGTGTCTTAGTCGGTTAAGCGGCCGACTTTTGCTTAGGTCATGATCTCGCGGTTCGTGGGTTTGGGCCCCGCGTCGGGCTCTGTGCTGACTGCCAGCTCAGAGCCTGGAGCCTGTTTCAGTCTGTGACTCCCTCTCTCTCTGACCCTCCCCTGCTCACGCTGTCTCTCTCTCTCGTAGAAATATATAAAACATTAAAAAAAAAGTAAAAAAAAATACACCATTCTTAACAAATCTTTTAGCCAGTAATTTGTAATATATCCTTAGTTTTGGAATTATAAAATTTATCTATTTCACAAGAGAACAGGTAATTTACACATATGACACTGTTGGATTAAAGATGATCTAATATTAAAGTCATATGCTAGAAGAAGAATCCCAATTTGATATACAATGATATTTTCATGGTCCATGAATGTCTTTATATGGTAAATTAAAAAGAAAAAAAAATAGCAATCATGATGAGCATGCATCAACATAGAGAAAAATGAGTGAGCATGATAAATGAATCTATTCCTTATTAAAATTTTCAGTAATTTACTAGACTTGAAGTTTGGTTTTTATTCTAGCAAATTAATACCACACAGTTACAGATGATTTTTGAGCTGCACAACAGTTTTCTTGGATCTGTCTCAAAATAAGAAAGACCGAAAGAAATTAAGAGACTTTTAAAAAGGAAGCTGAGATCTCTTTGTTTTACATGTTTGCTTCATTCTTCTTACACATTAGCTCTTTCTGCTTCTTCTTGCAGATGAAGTATCATCCAACAGATCCTGAGTTTATTTCAGGTGAGCTTAATTATTCTGGGCAAATGAAATGCAATCTTTCAATCCCAATTTCCAGTTCCTAAGAGAATATTAATAGCCTCCATGGATTCCAGTGTCTATTCCTGATCTAACAAATTGTACCCTGAGAAAGGACTGCATATTATGAACTTTGTAAGTATCTCATATCTGTTATGGTTGACAAAGTAGTTCTCATAAAAATAGGTACTTTATCTTGCAGGTGACTAATATTAGGTAATTTTGAAAAAAATACTTAACCATTTGAATCTCAATTTTTCTTTAAATGATGATTAGAATACACTGTTTAAAAGGAATATAGTAAAACCTTGGTTTGCAAGCATAATTCATTCCAGAAACACGCTTGTAATCCAACGCACTTGTATATCCAAGCAAATTTCTCCATAAAAAATAATGGAAATTCATATGATACATTCCACAATCCAAAAATATTCATAGAAAAATTATTCCAACACTGTAATATAAAACAAAATAAGAAAGAAAATATAAAACATAAAGAAAAATAAACAAAATAACCCGCACTTACCTTTGAAAACCATAGCTCGTGTGAGGGAGACAAGAGAGGAGAGTTATTGCATAGGATGACTTTCATGATCACTAATGGAATCACTGCTATCTATTTGCTCAATGGAATCTTTTTTTTTAATTTTTAAAAATGTTTTATTTATTTTTGAGAGGGAGAGAGAGAGAGAGACAGCGTGAGCAGGGGAGGGTCAGAGAGAGAGGGAGACACAGAATCTGATACAGGCTCCAGGCTCTCAGCTAGCTGTCAGCACAGAGCCTGACATGGAGCCGGAACCCATGAACCATGAGATCATGACCTGAGCCTAAGTCGGACACTTAACCAATGGAGCCATGAATGAGCCCCTGGAGTCTTTTTCTTTTCGTGAAACTTTAACAAGGAACCTATCCAAAGACTCTTGCTTTTGCTTCATTTTTAGGATGTTGCAGAAATGTGACACTGCATTATTGTTAAACAGATTCATCGCCTGCATTACTATGGCCTTATTCAAGGGATGCCTTTGTACAAAATTTTGCAGTTTCCCACATTTTACACATCTCCCTAATCTCATTTGGAGTGAGGGATTCCTCTGCCTTTTTATACTCCTCCTCTGCAGACAAGATCTCCTCCATAATCTCTTGCTGTTGTTCACAATACAAGAGCTGGATGCAACAGTCAGATTCAAGTTGTGGGCACTTTCCAACATTCTGAAAAATCACTGATTTCTGCCAAACAGCATGACCTGAGACTGAGCACCTGAACATGAGAGATGATCACCCACAATCTTGCAGCAAGAAAGACAGATAACCATTGGCTCAGTTTGATCATGTGACATTTGGTGTTATATACTACTAATATTGCAAGACTTTGCTTGTTTATCAAGTTAAAATGCTCATCTTGTGGAACACGTGAAGCACAAGTTACCTGCAATCCAAGGTTTGGATGGTGGTGATCGTATTATTGGGAAGAGATCATATGGCACTCATCTGCATATTCCATCCAAGGATTTACCATGATATCTCTCAATACAGTTGGTTCTTCTTTCTTTCTCCCTGGATATTATTTAGTTGTTTAATTGGTATTATTTAACAATCACCTAAAAAGATCTTTCATCTGGGTCTTTTAATATGTTTGTTGTTGTTGTGTTGTTGTTGTTGTTTGAGTATAGTTGACACAACTAATGGCACACATTGGTTTCTGGTATACAACATAATGATTCAAATTCTCTATATGTTATGCTATGACCACCACAAATGTAGCTATTATCTGTCACCATACAATGCTCTTTCAATATCACTGACCATATCCATACGCTGTGCCCATTATTCCTGTGACTTATTAATTCCATAAATGGAACCATGTATCTCCCACGCCCCTTCATCCTTTTTACCCATCCCTCATCCCTTTCCTTCTGGCCAACTATCAGTTTTTTCTCTGTATTTATAAGTCTGATTCTGCTTTTTGTTCATTTGTTTGTTTACTTTTTTGTTTTAGATTCCACATATGAGTGAAATCACATGGCACTGAACTTTCTCAGTCTGACTTATTTCACTTAACATAATACCCTCTGGGTCCATCCATGTTTCTGCAAATGGCAAAAACCTCATCTCTTTTATGGTTGTCTCATATTTCCCTTCTGTATCTTGGCTACTGTAAATAATGCTGCAGTAAACATAAGGGTGAATACAGTTTGCTTTTAATAGGTTTTCATTAAAGTATTCAAATTATATGCTCTAGCAAGGAAGGACAGCAGGTAGCATCCTCTTCATATACTTATATAAAGGTCAGCAGGTGAATCTGACTTCAAGAAATTAATCATGATCCTTTAATTCTGTTGGCACATATAGAATATTTGTGAATCAATTAATTTCATATTTCAATTTCAAAAGGCTCAAGATTCTGACATAGGGCAACTTTCCTGATGTTTGGCATGTTTTTCATTCTCAATACACACTTGTTCTCAGCAGGATGCCAACAGTGTATCGTGGAAAACTGCTTTATTTTCAAAGGCTGTAATAGACATAAAATGAATTTTGAAAACTCAGATATATGCATACTCGGCAGCAACAATTATGCCTACAATCATAAATATATCAAATGCTTCATTTGTTCTTGTGTTGTTTCAAAGATTACTTTTCAAATGTTCTCATAGAGCACTCTTTCAACTTTGTCATGAGTCCTAAAAATAGCAATTACTTACATAAATAGATAGCATTCTCTATGAGGTTTGGTTGTTTCTGGGTTATAGATCTTCTTTTCTCTTTCTTTAAAAGGCAGTTAGGGGCCTAGACAAAAGTTGTAGACCATGCCTCTCTCTCTCTCTCTCTATATATATATATATATACATATACATATATATACACACACATACAAATAAAACTATTTATATATTTATGTATTACTATATATACACATTAATATAATATATATTAGTATGCATATGGACATATTTTGAATAAATTAATGAATAAAACTATACGTTTTCCTTCATTAAGCATCCACCATGATATGTCAGTGTTTTGCACTGGAGATTCAACAGTGAACAAGCAGGTAAAAATCTCTACCTTCTTGATGTTATATTCTTAATGAGAAGCTAGAAAATGAAAATGATAAAAAAACATTTTAGGTGCAGATATTTCAGGTAGTATACAGCTCTAAGGAGAAAATTATGAAGCAAAGAAGTCAGGATATGTAGACAGTAAATTTTAGAGATGGTATTAGAAACTCACTGAGAAGTAGTCAATTTTAGTATTTACATATATACAGTTTCCTTTTTTAAAAAAATATTTTTTCTAGTATCAGGAGTAATTTAGGTTGATTCTCTTTTTAAAAATTCAAACAATGTGGACATGTATAACATAAAACTGAAAAATGTGTAACATGACATATATAACATAAAACTAAAAATTCTTTAATTCAGATCATGTATGAATATATGTGTGTACCACAACTCTCCACATAGGATGACCTTTATATACTGCTCAGTAACTTTCTTTCCTCCTTCCTCAATACGGTTTATACAGATTCCCATCAATTTTACTTAACTGGCCAGATGATTTTAATAGAAACTGAAGCAAGCCTTGGAAGCACAGCTTTAAACTAAGAAGCTACTTTGGTGGTACTAAATGAGAATCAACAATTCACATATACATCTTTAAAAGGCATTTTGGGGTGCTTAAGTGGCTCATTCGGTGAAGTATCTAACTCTTGATTTCAGCTCAGGTCATGATCTCATAGCTTGTGAGATTGATCCCCAAATTGGGCTCTATGCTAACAGTGCAAAGCCTGCTTGGGATTCTTTCTCTCTCTCTCTCTCTGCCCCTCCCACGTTCTCTCTCTCTCTCTCTCAAAATAAATAAATACACATTTATTTATTTATAAATAAATAAATAGCATTTTGAGTTCATGAGAGATTAACACTTTAGCGCAAATCCTTTCATCTATGAAATGTGATTTTAGCTTGTCTGTCTTTACAAAGTTCCTAAATAATATATTTACTTTGGATGACGGATTATGGAAAACTTGTTCATACATCTAAAGGTTGACATGTTAAATCACACATTTTCATCTTTCAGAAATAAACTAAGTTTTGGGCACCTGGGTGGCTCAGTCAGTTAATCGTCTGACTTTGGCTCAGGTCATGATCTTATGGTTCATGGGTTCAAGCCCCGTGTCGGGCTCTGTGCTTAGAGCTGGCTCAGAGCCTGGAGCCTGTCTTTGGATTCTGTATCTCCCTCTCTCTCTGACCCTCTCCTGCTCACGCTGTCTCTATCTCTCTCTCAAAAATAAACATTAAAATTTTTTTAAAAAAGAAATTAACTAAGTTTGAAATCTTTCTATGATATATAACATAATGTCTTGTTTCTTATGACAAATGCTCTCATCCTCATTTTTAAGGTAAGCCTACATTTTCCAAAGTGTAACTACTGATGAATCCTATATCAAAAAGTTTAATTAGGAACTAATATATTCAAAGAGAAATGATCAAGTTATCTCTATGAATAAGCATGTTGAGTATAATTTTTGTGATCAACTCTAATGATTTGTTTGTTGAAATCAAATAATTATACCTTTAATAGAATCATTAATGTCAGTAAATGGTCATTTTTGTTTCAGTATGATGAGAACTGGATTCTTTGGCAATGATTCAGGTATATTAACATGTTCCCATTAAGAGTGAGGTAAACAAGGCACATTGTCTCATAGCAGCTAACAAATTGTTCCTTACAATCAAGGTAAGTACTACAGGACCATAATAATTACTTCCTCCTTAGTTCTTTCCTGCTGTTAAAATGATTCTGTTCCTTTTTTCTGAGTAATTGGTTTGGCAATTCTATTTGACATCTTATAATTGAAGTCCTGAGGTGCATGATTCACATCTTTGGTTGAGCCTTGTCCTTCTGCAAATAGGTATCTCTCTAACAATAGGTAAAGATGGGCTTTGTGGAACTTGTAAGTCCATTTAGAGCTATTTTAAAAATTGAAGCAGGCATTGTAAAGGTGCTTTTACTTAGCAGAGTAAATAAATTATTAGAAAAACTTGAGTCCTTGAAAAGTTTTCTTCGATGAGACATGGAAAAGCAACTAAAAAAAAAAAAACAAAAACTAGAAGCAATTTTTATCTTTATTTATGCCCTGCCATATTGATCCAAAATAGATTTTGATCCAAATATTATGGATATAAGAATTTTATTTTAAACATAGCAACAGAGGGCCACCTGAGTGGCTCAGTTGGTTAAGAGTCCAATTTCGGTTCAGATCATGATCTTGCAGGTCATGAGTTTGAGCCCTGCATCAGGCTCTGTGATGTCAGCGCAGAGCCCTCTTTGGATCCTCTGTCATCCTTTCTCTATGGCCCTCCCATACTCATTCTCTATCTCTGTCTTAAAATAAAGAAATTAACTTTAAAAAATAGCAACAAATGTTTATTAATATTATTCTAAAATAAAGTTTAATTGCACAAAAATAGAAATAAATGGCAAGGTTGGCAGAAAATAAGTTCCAGAAAAAAGAGATTGTAAGGCTGTTAAATTGTTCATTTTTCTTCCATTTTGATCTTACTATCTTATATGTAAATGATACAGCATTTTGATGGTGGAACATTTATTTAAATAATAAAAATAAAATATTTTCAGTAATAACTAGTTCTAAAATAAATAAGTTTTGTGCATGAAAAAATTATTACTATTTTTATAGTGTCTCTTCCTTGCCTTCAATAGTTTTTATTAGAAATAATTTGTGATTGGTAATAATGGTAAATCTCATTTATGATATTAACTACAGTGAAGGTGGCTAATCTTTTTTTCTAAATCTACTAAAGCATTTTTGTCTTATTTTAATTAACATAATCAATATTCAGTGATATCCCCACAATTTCTATATTCAAAAAGAGTGGATAACCTTCTGGTTGGAAGTTGAAGATTAAGGAATTTACCTATAATCTACTATTGCATAGTAAACAACTGTTTTTACTTCGTTGACATATTTATTGAGGTGATTTCTGAGGGAAATTAATGGAGAAGGGGTTAAATAAAGCCCCACAATCCAGCCACTTTTCATTATATTATCTCTTCAAGTCTCAGGGCTACTGATCACTGAGTAGCCTAGTGCTACCAATTACTGTTGGGCAGTTTGCTAGATGCTGAGGAAACATAAAATAAAGGAGACTGATCATTGATCTTCAAACACCATAACCATGTGTGTAGGGTGTTGGTGAGAGTCGGTATGTAAGCAAATCATTTCATTAAAATGTAATAAGTGCTAAAAAGAGGAGTGCTAAATTCAAAATGGTGATTCAAGAAAGCCTTATGAATGAGAGGGTGCTTTGACTGAATCCCAAAGGGGATTTCAAAGAATATTTGAAAAGATATCCCAAGTAAAAGAAAAAAGCACAGGCACATGTATAGATACAAAAGTATGGTCTGTGTAAAGAAACAAAGTAATTCTGCAAACTTTATATTATCAGATTGCAGAAGAGATAAGAAGAAATGTCTAGAGCTGTTGATGTAAGGTAGGGGCCAGCTTATATGAGGTCTTACATGACAAACTAAATGATAATAAGGTTATTCTGGGAAGCAAGATATTTTGGAAGTCTTAACCTGGAGTATGATGGTCTGATGTCTAATTTACATGGATGACCATACTGACAGAAGGCATTTGCACATTCCACTAAAGCAAGCTGGAGAAGAGTAAAAAGGAGGAATTCAGGGTACCAAAGTGTCAGGGATAAAATTTGACTTGGAGAGATTTTCCTGGTAAAGTGATCAAAAAGGTGCTGTTGGTATGGAGAAAAATTGGGGGAATTCAGTGCAGCAGAGAGGAAGTGAATTATGCAGATTCACTGTTAGGTTCCTGTGGGATCAACCAAGTGAATTTTTCCAGTGGGAAAGAAATTTCCAACTAAGAGCAGACTTCCTGCCTGGTAACTTACCCTTGAGATTTATCAGTAAATAGGAGAAAAATAAACACTTTGTGAATGTGAGACAGAGCAGGGCCTGAACTTGGATCCTCTCAGTCTTGACTGCAAAATCCAGTGCCCTTTGGCTGCCTAAGAAAAAGAGAAAAAAATGCTAAAACCCTGTTTCTTGAGTAGTGTTATCTTTATTTTTTCTTTCATAGTTTATTATCAAGTTGGTTTCCATATAACACCCAGTGCTCATCCCAAGAAGTGCCGTCCTCCATGCCCATCACCCCGCTTCACCTCTCCCCCACCTCATCAGCCCTCAGTTTGTTTTCAGTTTTTCATGGTTTGCCTCCCTCCCTCTCCCAAACTATTTTTCCCCTTCTCCTCCCTCATGGTCCTCCATTAAGTTCCTCCTAATACACCTATAAGTGAAAATATATGGTATCTGTCTTTCTCTGCCTGACTTATTTTGCTCAGCATAACACCCTCCAGTTCCATCCATGTTGCTACACATGGCCAAATTTCATTCTCTCCCATCGCCATGTAGTATTCCATTGTATAGACAAACCACATCTTCTTGATCTATGTGTCAGTTCATGGACACTTA